TATTTGTCGTTTATAGAGGTCTTCCTTAGTAGAAAACTGCACAGATAAATCTAAATACAGCATCAGACAGCTTTAAAATCAGTTAACTAAGCGATGCGAACACATGGTATCAATGAAAACCATTATCTATTTTCCCGACTTCAATCAGTGTCGCGATTTAAGAGTCTCGGTTTTGATCGACCACTGTTTTCATCTAAGTTGTCACTTGATTCAGCACCCGCATCAACAGGTTCCTTATCTACTTTTTTGTCGCCTGCAATGCCTCAAAAAGGGTTATACGGGATTTAAGATGAAAAAATAGTGGAACTGACTTTACCATTGATTTTTCAGTGAGTCATTTGTTTTGACCATCTCTGTATGCCTCTGTTCTTACAGAAATAGTGTTATGAAAAATAATACAATATAATACAATTTCTCAGAGATCTAAACAAAGACTTTTTAAAGAATGCAACGAAAAGATTTGTATATGAAAATATCAATCTCTTTGTGTTTGGAAATACTGCGTCATGCTGTTTCCGTGTCATTGTTCAAACTACTGGCTGTCTTCGCAGCGACCACATTCAAAAGTGTCTTGATTACAGTAAAATTGCTTAGTGTCTATTGAAGATGAAAATCGGTAACCTTCGATGTTGAAATGCATACTCAGCTAAAAGTGGATTCTCTGTGGGTGATGATGAGAATCTTTCAAATTCTAGGAATCATCTAGGGGTTCGTTGCTTATATTTACTGGTTTGTTACCCAATGCATTGTTCAAGGAGTTTTCATTACTTCACGGTCTGACAGATAAACTGATTCGATTTTCCTATGATACTATTCATATCAGTGTTTGATTGAATAATCTTTCGACTTTACTGAGAAAATTCTGACAAGCATTGGAGAGAGGTTAGTGTAAGGTAAATTTCACTGGATCCTTTATCAATTTCGTTTGCGGTTTGACAAATGTGACTATAACATACTGTTGCATATTCTAAAGTGCATATACCTGATCTATTATTGTTTAATCTATGAAGATAATGGTGAAATTGAGGAAGGCAACTTAGTGTTTTTAGTATGTGAGTGAGGTGGTCCTACATAACACTGTAGCAAAGAACAAAGTCCTCCTTCACACAAACAGATTTCTCCAGAGAAGTCATTGTTCATTTTGATTACTGTGATTTGGCTTGCCGAGAAAAGGCTTCGTTTCTTGTGTCTGAGTTGAAGTAAATTAGAGAGTATGGTTTAACCTTAAATTCTACAACCGAATAGATGAAAGCTATATTCAGACTTTTAGACCTCGTGATTAATTTGAATACGCAAGTTAGAGAAGACAGACAGTGACAGCGTCTTCACTTCAATAGCTTCTCTCCAATGGAACACAAGAGAGCCCCACTGTATCACAGGGCGAAAATATATATACAGAGAAAAAATAGAGAGAGAGCACTACGGGATAATGATTATTCGCAGTCGTTTATTCATTTTCATAATCGGACACGAAAACAGACTAAAGCATTCATTCATCCACATTTCTGCATTTAAAGGGTAGTGAACGATACAGTTTATCAAAGAGTATAACAGACACCTTACAAAGATCCTATTATGCTGCCGCATTACGTCTCTATCCGAGCACACAGTTTATAAAGTTAGAGTTAAATCCTGTGCGATGACAACAGTCTACTCTTTACCTCATTCAAAGATCGCCCAACAGTCGCGTCTACCTCCCATTGAGTATACGCCTTGCGGCCACAGATGTAATGAAGCATACATTGGGACGACCGACCATCATCGGAAACTGGAACAGACGAAGACATCCCTAATTACGTGTGTGAATCAATGACTCAGCCTACACCACATATAAAGACTGCATCGTGTAGAACGACCTCAGCCACTTGCTTCAAAGCGGTCACAAGGTAAATCCTGCAATCGGGTTCTCGGCCGTGTTACGTTATCGTAAAAATCACCTACTAAGGATACTGGAGGCATTATCAAGCGCTCACAACGAACCCATCTCATGTGTTCAACAACGCATGGAGTCCTTCTCCGGATATAAAACATTCTGTGCAACTAAACACACACAGAGCGTAAAACCTAACTTAATTTCTTAATTCACCGCATTTGTCTACATTGCTTAACGTTATACGGAAATGATGGATGGGAGTGTACGAAAACGGTTCCTCTTGTAGTGTTTGTCTTCTGACTTATTTGTTCGAATGCTTTAATGTTAATTAACATATATGCACTTTTTTGATATAGAAATTCTTTTTTACTAGTGTAGAATGATAGTGAGAATAATTCCACTCTTATCTGTTCGATATGCTACCAATGTACAATCGGTTGCCATGAATGGAAGCACCGGGAATCAAACAGTGGGAGATCGAACGGAGGAATGGAAAATTTGAACAGGGATCTTGCGGTTTGTAACAAATGCAAATATGGCTCGTTTAAATTGATAAAAGCTTGTCTCTGCATAGATGTTCAAATGGAGAAAGATTTTTTTTAATTAGCTCACGAATTGAATTTGTCTAAACTTGTTCACTTCATATTCAGTCCAAAACGGCATATTTGATCCGATTTGGCAAAACGATCACTGACGAATAATTTTGTCCTCTCCTCTTCCTCCTCATCCCACCATCTCCGATGTTAAATACAGCAATTTTTCTTCTCAGAATGCTCGAAATAGCTCAGACCATTCCCCCGAGACACTTTTCCGCAATGCGTTTTACTTTCTTACTTCCGCCCGCCCCCCCCTCCCCCAGTACACTTCAGCTTTTAGGGACCAGTTGAATAATGTTTTACGATAGATTAGTGGCGGCTCTTATAATAAGTCGATACAGTTTATCAATAACCGATATTTGCTGTTTGTTCTCTCAGTATTCACACCGCAAATAACTATACTAAGTATTTGTTACCATTTCAGGTATATTTTTATTCGATAAGAATCTTGTCTCGGTTTTATTTATTACCGTATGATGGATCTGTTCGCTTCCTTCCATAAAAGACAGCCGTACAAACAACATTCCGGAAGCGGATGAACTGCGGCGAACCAGACGCCCCCTGGGGACTGATTGGAAATGTGGTGTAGATGGTGAGGTTTAAACCCACAACATCTGTTCAAATTGATTGGTGATTTTCAACACTTGAGGTATAACATCCACTAGGCCAGCATTGGTTCAGAAGTTGATTCACTAAGATTTAAATCTGCAATTGACAATACCGATTATGAAATTCAACTACTGTAGAACACTTAAACTGTGGTGACTATGTGAACCGATCAATTTTAGTTAAGCTAACCCCAGCCAAAATCCGAGACAGGAGCCCTATTAACATTTTACTATAAACTATGAATTCATTTTGTTTCTGAATCATGAACACCAACCAGGACAGCCATGAAAACAATCAAACCAGGCAGGGCTTATCTCATTGATAGTGAATTTATATGTGGATACTGAACTATTTCAACCCGTTTCTGGGATGTGGCGGCTAAATTAACTCAGACACCTAAAACAATATTGATTGACTCGATTCGAGTAGTGCACGCGTTGAATTATGTATCCATATAACCTGTGTCACGTTGTCTAGGTTACTGGCACACAAAAATAAGATCCGTTTTATCCCATCTATCGACAAACAGTTCTGTCGTGTCCGGTTACTATTCAGTAGCACTCTTCACTCTGTAGTAGATTAGGCACAGAAACTCCGTGTCAACATTCATCTGAACAGCACGATCACCCTGTTTGCTCCTCTCAGTTGAATTACATTTATTTCATTATACAGAATTCAGATCAGGAACATTTGATTTGATGGTCCCTATTTGAATTTTAAGAGACCAGTCAAATATATGTATATATGTTGTCATAGGAACTATATAAGGTGTTTGTCCTAAGGTTTAGGTGAATTTAACCGTGACTGAAGCCAATTCACGTGCAACTGGAACGATGTCAGCGAGAATGTTGACAAGTTGCGCAAATTGATCTTGTAGTCATTTGTATGTAGTTGGCATATCGCATGTGAAATGGATAGTGAAACTAAGAGAGTCATAATCGGTTCCGATCAGCTGTGAAGTGGTTGTTACGTAAATACTATTTGTGATCAGCCGCTCTGTAGGACCTGATTGTTTTGGGAGCCAACAGGGGAAGGAATGAACTGTGAAGGACATACATCATCGTTGCTCACAACCAATGCAACCGGTTGTGTGTGGGTGTGGGTGGGTGTGAATGACGCAGCTCTCAAGACAAGTATGAACAAGCAATCGATTACGATCTCGTCCTCTCTCCACATGTGCTTCTACTTGAGAATAGGTTCAGCATAATAAAACAGAACTCTAATTCACATTTCTATGAGAATCATTCTGACTGCTTTTTCCAATTCAATCTTCACTGATCGTAAGCCAGTGGCAAACAGTTTAAGGTGGTACAACTCAAAATAAAAAGCCTATAAAAACTCAGAGTCTAGTGAACTATCAACTTAAATGTGTTTTAATCTAAGCCTATAAAATACCAAAAACCTTGGGCCGATCTGAATTGCCAGTAAGTCGAATGTTAGATTTGCGTTAGAGCTCATGACAGGGAAATCCTTGAGCTTTTTGGACGAACCTTGAATATAAACGCTTTCTAACAATAGAATCAGGTTTGTTTTAACCACAAAGTGAATACCAAAACACAAGATTTCGGTGACAACGTTTCGACCTTCTTGGAAGGCCTTTGTCAAGCCAGTTTAATCGGTTTCTCAAAAACACAAGCTTTAAGGTGAAAATCACGNCGTGATTTTCACCTTAAAGCTTGTGTTTTTGAGAAACCGATTAAACTGGCTTGACAAAGGCCTCCCAAGAAGGTCGAAACGTTGTCACCGAAATCTCGTGTTTTGCCATTCACGTTGTGGCTAAAACAAACCTGATTCTATTGTTACTATGAGCACAACGCCCAATTTTTTCGAAATGATCCGGAACATCCATGGATTATTAACTGTATAAACGTTTTCTGTTAGGAAAATTTAAAATTTACCCAAAGTGCCCTTCTCTGACTCACCTTCCGTCTTTATTTTCAAATTGGTCCTCACGAGAGCAAACAGGGTTGCATTGAACATGACTGTGCCGTCACTATTTAAAGGCATATTCATTCTCACGAGAGTCTGTGGGAAAACAGTTTGAAAAAGTAAAATAGAATGTGAGTCAACCAGACTCCCACACGATTCGCTTTTTCCCCTTCGTACGGAAGACTGTCGCGGGAACAGTGAACTATCAATCGGAAAAAAATCTACTATCGGCCATTTAATTTACCATTCTGGTGTAAACTAGAAATCCAACCCAGGGTTTAAAATTCAAACGCTCTCTATGGGATTGAGAAAATCAGTAAGTTGACACCTCTAGAGAATTTAAAGGGTATGTGGATTATTTCAAATGGATGTTGGGACCCTCATCGGTTTACAAGAAAGGAACAACTTCGATCGGTATTGGCTCTTGGATATTAATACTGCGCCACTTGTGAGTTCCGCTTGGCTGTTGATATTCGGTTGTGTGAGTTGTAGTCACTGAACAATATTTATATTAGATTAGAGTTTACGTTTTCCTTTCCCGATATGTGTACTGCGTATCAGGAAAAAGTTTGCTCAGGACCCGTACATCACGTTGTTATAAGCCCCTTTTCTGAAGGGAACATTGTAAACTCAGCACCATGTTGATCTAGATGGCTTTGTTACGCATTCTATTCCATGACGAGCACCTGAATCTGACACTAAACGGTCATTGTTAGGTCCAAACACTATTAGGAACAAGAAGAATCAGTTGGTATTGTGCAAATGATATTCCGTGATTACAGTGATTTTCACCCGTGAGGTGGCCAAATGCATGCGATGCATCATCACAAATTCCTGTTTCTTTCCCGTTTTCAACATGAATGCAATATCATATGAATCACTATGCAGGGTGGAGCTCCCACTCACGCCCAGGTTGAAACAAACTTTACGCTTCATTCTCCAGCAAACTTCAAACTTCATTCTCGTTGACAGGAGCGGTGATTTCTCAATAAAGTAAATCTGTCGGCTATTAGAAAAAATGTGTTCGAAAAACGTGGGCCTGAAGAATAGACAATGCGCTAGTTTGGTATACTTCCTTATCATGATACAAGTACGAGGTCAGTGTGAATTGCTTCAAGCGTTTGGAAAATAAATCACAATCTGAAATAGCGGTTCAAAAAAGAGGTTTAAAGGTTTTATTTTACTGTATTTTTATTTTATTTTCAACCAGTCAAGGATGACACAAATCTACGCGGAGAGAGATGCTTCAGTGGCGGACACGTAGTCGGTTTAGATGGAGTCTTGATTGAAATTCTCTCTAGTGGGAAAATAGATGTTGCCTTTGGTCTGAGTGAAGCGTAGCCATTGAACCATACACGGAGTGCATTGATCAAATTTTTTGTGTAGATCACAACAGAGACTGACAGTTAAATCGGTTAGGTTCCAAACAACGCAAACATTTCCAGTTGAAGCTCTTATGGGAACCTAGTCCCTTAGAAATTTACCGAATTCGGATGTCCAACATGCCCAGCATGTGTCTTAGCCGTGTACTTAGTGCAAGCAAAACTAAGCAGGTTTACCGTTGAAACGTGAGTTCAACTCAATCAAAAAGTGTTTTATTATATTGTTTATCATCGTCATATTGTCACCTCTTAATTGGTACAGTTTGACTCACCAGTAATGAAAATCGGTAAGTTAGTTACAAACGGGGTATACAATGAGCAAATACTGTACTCATGTAATTGTACCCATTGGTAATGAAACGTATTCGTAATGCAATATTCTGTTTTTTAGTCAATGAGCCCATACTGGTTTGCCGTCTAGAACGAATGAACTTATGACGGAACTATTTGAAGACAAGTCAAATCAAGTCACTAGTAGCTTGATGCACCCGAATGGGTGAATTTTCAGCATCTACACTATATTTGTGGATTAAAATTTACAAAGTCATACATAATGAAACAAAAAGCAGTAGATTGTGTTTGTCAATGCATCAAATAGGTATAGAAAGCATTAGAGCTAGTGCTTGCAGTCGAATAGAATTCGTCAGATCGTTGATCTGCTTTGTTTGTCACTGCTTTTGTTTTCGTATTCTGTGATTAAATATACTAATAACGAGGGTGGATATTATTTTACGTGCTCGCAAATATTTGAGTGGCGTTCATTTGGCTTACCTACCGGACACATCGGAACTGCCACTAACCAGATGCGTATATTGTTTTCGCGCACTGCGTTTCATGTAGTTGTTGGGGATGAGCATGTGTGTGTGTGTGTGTGTGTGGACGTTAGGCAGGCACTTTGAGGACTATCGAGGAACATAACTTATGGTTGTCGGGACTACAGTAGTGAACGTGCCAGACGCAGTTGTATGTAACTGCCCTGGGGATTGGGCTAGTGATCTAACCCAAAGTCTCGTATCACTTTCTTTAGCACGCATTTCAATAGTTGGTTATGCGCTCTGTAAACTAATCAGACTGCTTATATATTTTCAAGTGCACATTTGACCGAACCTCACAATCTTGTGAACGTTTGGTGCACCTAGATACACATGTACATGTATATCTATAAGATGCACTCTACGGTACACTGCTGAGTCAGCTATGAGGACGAGGTTGAGAATTTGGAGCCGGTAATTTAACTGATTCTACTGAAACATGATTTGTCTCCTTAGAGTTCCACGTCGTGGTGGTCGTGACAACAGTACAGTTTTATTCGCTCGCTTCTGTGCCCACCAAGCCATAGAACGACTAGAACTATTACAAGTTAGTGATATTAAAAATCGTTTGTTGAATAAGGAATGACCTCACTTTGTCATGAATACACAACCAGCTCGTAATACCAGTTTTTCTTCTTATTGTATAATGTGTTTAGATACTGAAACCCAATCCACGATTTGTACTGCAACGCGCCTAAAGTGATGCACCAAACAGGGGAGAGTTAGCCTAAAGTTTGATGTGCAGTGATAGGTAAGATGATGCACAATCTCAGTCAAATTTGATTTGAACAGAAGTTAGACAATGCTGAAAAGTATTCTATGCTATAGATGGGTTAGGGTTTTGTTAGCTGAATTTTAGGGGAAAATAACCGGTTGAATCAGCTTAAGCAAAAAACGTAAAGCCTGCTGTTTCCCTGCCTGCAGTTTGTGACTTCATTTGCAACCGGTTTTCCTGGACGTGAAAAAGAAATGAACAGAGAGATCAGAGGGACCAAAGTGAAAAGCATTTTCGGACTTTTCTCAACGAACAGGTGAGATGGAGGCTTTGTATAATGACTTCAATATACAAAAGACGAAAGTGCATTGCTCCTTGTCAAGAGATATTCGTTTCAAATTTCGAAGGTAAACTAAGCGATTGAATGTGATAGCCTACTAAAACTGAACCAGAAGCGACTCGATTTAATATTTGTGGTTTACTTTTTGACCCTGGGGGCTTCTGATGAAGTAAACGTATTAAATTGACCCACCTCTCAAAACACAAAATATTATCAAGTGCTTTTTTACCAAAGATTACTTACCACACAAGCCGTGCGATGTGGACAAAGTTTTCCGAAACCCAGTGGAGGTGATATTTTTCGCAAAAGTGTGACGACGTCAAGGTGTTTGATTCGTCCCCTGAAATCGGAAAAAGAGGCCAACTTGTACAAACAAAGGTTCCAACGAGTAAAAGACACATTTGACTAGAATGCTGTTGATTCTTCTCAAATTCTTTGATATGCATGACAGTCAGGTTTACTCATACAGTGACAATCAATTTTGGAATTCAGACTGCATTTATAGCTAGTTGTTTTAAATCGGTGACCGTCCATATCAGTTCTATGCTACATGTAGATTTACTAGTAGTTTGTCGAGTTCATATACAGTAAATTTTCACTGAAACAGGTTCCTCTATTAGCCATGCGCAAACGTTTACACTCCACCTCAAGATGAATTACATGATTATTGGTTTTGGTAGTATTTGTAGTAGTTTGTGGGTTTTAACATATTTTATCACACCTCAGACGGGCTATCAATCGATCAATGGTGTCTCGATGTCACAGTTCGAAAGAAGTTCTTTGCGTATTTATTTTCAAGTAAGATATTCGCCGAGCTGTTTGAAGGACTCCTTCGTGGACAAACAATCATATAATTATGGAGCGGAATGCTAACGAGAGCGACCAGCAAAGCAAATCCTAGAAGCTTATTTAAGGATAGCGTAAGTTTTTCCTCATACGGCTGTTTCATATGCACCAGAACTAGATGCAAGACATACATGGCATATATGTGTATAGATGTAAGACGCAGGAACTGCACTTCTGGAGCTTGTCAGGGTAGCAAACAAAAACAGCCATGGAGGAGGAGGATGACACTTTGACAGTGGATAGCTTGAGGACCGTTCTCTATGTGCAACCTTTATTCTGAGGCACATGGATAATTTGGAGTGTCAATGTCGCTAAAAGTTATCTAATGACGAATCCCTGTGCAGATAAAACCTCTCACTCGGTCGGTTATGATTCCTGCAGGACCATTTCAAAAATATAGACGATTGTGTACATATGTGTTGAATATGACTTGTTGAATTATTTGCACTCTTCTATTTCGGTTCGTTTTGGACGATCAGCTGGTAATGCTAAAGAGCTATTTACAATATTTAAGCTATGTGATGAATAAGTTCAGTTAACTTGCTTTATTTTCCCTGCCTGAGAGAACGCTCTGCTCATATCGCCGGAAACATTGTGAATGATTCATCATTGACAAAAAGATTGATTAGTTACTAACTTATACCGGCCATTTTCACACCGGGGTAGTGGTTTTTAACCATAGAAGTAGGCACAATGTAACTCCACTTTAAGCAGTGCTTATTTCTTGATTATGGTACCACTAGACAGATTTTTAGCGAAATTCTATTCAAACCTGAACACTGCAAACAGATCAGGTGTGTACAACCATGCGCAGCCGGGAAAATCCTCCTTACTTATACAGACGCATTCCGAGGCGATGGTTATTGACGTCGCGTCTTGAGCACAGTAAGTTTGGATTGAAATGTGTCCAAGGTAAATGAAATATCCATTGATGTGACGCAACTGTGACTAGAGGGAATTAGACCGGCGTCAAACGTTCCGCAGGTTAACGAAAAAACAGGTTACATAAAAATTGATACTTACTTTGCTTCTGGATCATACTCGGACCAGAGACGCACAAACTCATCCAAGTGATGCGGACCAAGAATAGACCAGTCGCGTGTCAGATAATCGAAGTTGTCCATAATGACAGCAACAAACAGGTTGATAATCTGTCAAGATAGGAGACCATTATAGGAATTGTTGTTTTTTCTGATTCGCAATTAGCAATAATCGATTAATAATGAAGATATTTTTTATTAGATTACTCCATGGAAACTCCATACAATCCCTAAATGAATTTTAATTGGTTCTAATTTGCAAAATTCTGTGCCGAGAGAAGTATTATTTATAGGCATCAAACTTCCTGCTAGCTACTCTTGAACTTTCACAGCGCAGAAAGTCACTTGTGCAGAACTTTCTCTACCAGTTGAATCATATCTGGTGTAAGTTGTGGACTTTTATAAACGACCCAAAAGTTGTCCGTGATTATCGGAACGTTTATCACTTCTGAAGTTGCTATACTTTCACCGACGTCCATATGAATAAATCATTCCCTACTCAAGGAAGTTGTCGAAATCCGACTTTTTCCAGGAAGCGTAATCAGTAGGGATGTTTTTGTGCCAACATTTAACTCCCCTTTCGCTAGTAGAATGTATAAGCCATCGTAGCTTACGTAGATCATGTAACTGAGTGTATGTAAATCGATTGAACGATCGATCGATTGATCGATCCCGCGACAACATACGGAGTCACTTTTGACAACTCACGACCGACATGTGGTGGTGGAACTTTGGAATCGCTCGACGAGCTCACACAATCGATATACGACTCCTGTGCTGTTCCCCTGTTTATTTTTCGGTCACAGGCCGAACACGTGAGCGAATGATCTGTATCTCGTTCAAAAACACAACACAACACAGCACAGCACACAAACACACTCGACGACCATTCAGGCGGAATGATGCATTTAACTGCTTATCTTATTATCAAAAAATCACAATGACAGCCCCCGTCCGATGTGGGATGAATGTGAATGATCAAAGGCTAACAAATATGTGGAATCAATTGTCATATGATGCGAGTTATTTAGTGTGTATGTGGAGAATAAAAGAACATGAACATTCCTGATAGAAATCCTTCAAAATAGGCAACCAAATTCCACAAGATTCAGTGCAAAATGTACACACTCATTTCTAATAATGATGTCCCAAATTCAGCTGCGGATATCAGAATACATCGTTCATGAGTATCGAATGATTTTATAATAGAAGTGATGAGCGATTTAAATAAAATTAAACCAAACTAACTTATAATTTATTTGAAAATTCCAAATGATGAATCCACAATAGAGAAGAAACTTCATCGGATGATGAAAATTTTTCTGATTTGGGAGATACAAAAGGATAACCATTGCGGAAAAATTGTTGTTCATCAATCTACAACACTGAAAAAAGAAGTATATCGGACTCTCATGTTTTTAGTCTTTGCACATACAATAAATAACGCATTAACGGTGTATCCAAGCGCAGTTTCCCTGCTCCACATTACCTCATTCCCCGGCTCTACAGCCGACCGTAAAATAAGAGTAACTGAACTGGGCGGAATGCATACATTAATTGTTATAGCGAACATTTTGATTCTGCGAAAAAGAATAGAATAACAGTTGTTTTGTTCATTTTTTTTCCTGGGCTGCTTATTCACACTGTTACACTCACGGAAACCTGTTTCATTATTCATAAATTTTATTTTATTTGACGTTTACACTCGGAGTTGTACATTTGAAGCAAGTCACAATGAAATGATATGCGTGAACTGAATTGAGTTATTGACGATGGAAACGTTTTTTAGATGCTGCAGGCGACATAGAGAACGAGACTTGTACAACTGTCACTTGGATCAAATGTAAAGTCCCGGAAATTCCTTCCAGGAAATTTTATTCGTTATTTTCCTTCATTCGGTGGTCGTCATTGAGACAGGAGGAAATCCGCAAGATTTTTTCGACAGAACGGGTAGGCGTGTAGTGTGTTCTACTTCAAAGTTGTACCTTGCGTATACTAGAACTGATAAGCCGTTCAAAGCTGAAGTATTTTTCAGTATAATTTTCTCAATCGGTAGATTTAGGCGTTCTAAAGTGACTTACAAATAACAGCAGTAAAGAAATAATAGGAAGAGTCTACAAAACTGCTTTGTGGGATCTTATTCGACCTTCTCCGAAACGTACCAGAAAAGAGCACACCATGTAAAACGAGATGAAGAATGGATAGGCAAAATTTGATCCACAGTTTGCCCTTGGTCCATTGTAACCGAGTTCCTCAAGCTTGCTCAAAGATATGGTACGTTCGTCGTATTTTGGACCCATTTGTTTTGAAGCGTTTTGAGCGTCCGCTTCTAATCTGGGTTCGGGATCACCGTCGCCCATTTCTCCCGGTTCNTTTATACGGTGGAATGATTGGTTCGTAGTCGTTCTGGATTGATGATACCAACGGATCGATTTGTGGCAGACGATGAGACCAGTCGTCAATATATGGAGGAATGTCCGGACTCGGATGCGGTGGATAGTATGCCGGGGGAACGGTCTCGGTCAAATTGGCCACATCCGGATAACCCAAAAAATGTAACTGATTCCCAATCAGGTTTGCCAGTTGTCCATCAGTTTCGCTTGCATTGTAGATCACCGTCAAATTGCTGATGCGTTTTGTCGTGTTTTGACTCTCCAACTCCATCAATTCTTGATATTCAATTTCATCTAGGAACGCTCGAATGGCTTTCAATTCCGAATCCGAGTGTCGGTCGCATTTTACCACGGGTTCTGGTAGAAAAAAAAACAGATGAATTTTACCGAATGTTTGTATTTTGTAATCATTTGGA